AATGTAAAATTTATCATACCTACCACATTATGAGTTTACAATGAAATCCATTATTTTTTTAATTGTTTATAAAACACAAGGAAACAGCTTTTTTCTAACCTAATTTCCTTTAAGAGGCATTTATGTTTAAAATATAGAAATCACCTATTTTATTTCTAAATGTATTGTTATAAGTTATACAAAAGTTTGCCTTTATTTCTCTGTAGAGAACAGAAGCGCTTTTGTTGGAACTCCATTGAAGAATCTGGGTGTGATTCAGCGCATCACCTGCAGGTGTCGCTGCGCGCGCATCCCAGCAGACATCCCGGAAGTTACGGAGAAACGGCAGCGAACTAAGCAGAGGAGAAAGAAAACAAAGTTTGTAACAATTTCTAGCAGACTGTGGGAGTTTCCACTGCAGGCTGCTCCACGACTCTGCATCCTTTACAGGAGAAAAATTAACGCACGTAAGTGGCTTTTTATTTTAACCCTAAAATAAATATTATTCATCTGTTATGAGGGTCGTACATCTGTAATTATCAATGGATGACGTATAAGTCAAAAATATTAAACATTTCATTGTAATCTTTTAGCCCTATTTATTATTATCTTACCTGGCAAGACTGTTCATATTTCCAAACAAACTAATTAAATCTTTATGTTGTTATGTTGTTGTCTAGATGTTGTTTCTTTATTTTAGTAGGCCTATATGTAATTTGGTTAATACAATTTAAAACCCTCACATCTAAATGATGATTTTTTTTTTTCTAAATAGCTGTATGCTATTTAACATTACCTGATATTTATTTATGGAACTAAGGTAATAAAACTGTTATAACAGCTTTACTGTACCTCCCCTCCTTCATTAAGAAGAAGTGAAGCACAGCCTGTTCAGACAGCTCCTGTCTCATGAACCTGCTGCAGAAGGACAGAACCACATTACAGAGCCTCCTCTCAAACCTGATGGGACACATGCTGGACGAGCTTCCTCTCATCCCGGCCACTTTAAGTTGGTTTCTGCATCCTGCTCAGCCTGTTCCACAGCGTGACCAGCTGGGTTTCCGTTTTTATAAAGGCTTAACCTTCTCTAGACTTCACTTAAAAAAAAAAAAGGTTTTCAGAAGGTATTGCTCTGCTCATGGAGTACTTTGGAGTGCCGTGCTTTAATTTCACAAGATCTACAAGGCAAGTGTGGACCTGTGTATTTTATGTTATTTTGATCCATATTTTGATCCTCGACTGATTGTCTTAACCCAAATCTCTCTACGAGACTCATTTATTTCAGCGTTTAGCTGTCTTTTGGGGAACGTTTATGCACAGTTTTATAAGGTTGGACACTTTATTCTATTATCGGTGAGTAATTTGGTTCAAAACTCTGCAATTACAAATTAAAAAGACAAAGAATTATGTGTGTTCATCCCTGAACGAGGACAATCTCTCTGCTAACCTTAAACAAAACCTCAGACGGGCAGGCTTGACTTTTATCTTCTGGACCATGCATCAATTCAAACTATTTTAATTTGTTTTTATATGATTTTATTAAACTTTCTGCTGGGGCATCTTACATCCAAGTCTCTAGCTGCCTTATTTACACATTCCTTGTTTTTGTGAAAGCTTTTAGGAGTGTGGTATTATTTGTTACACATTTTCTCATGAGAAAAAGCCACTTAACTCAATTCACACTATCCCTTACTATCAAAGCAAGTACGTTTTTCTTATTATTTAATACATTTCAGATGCACAATCATCAGAGTACACAGTTTTAAATTGCTCAACACAACCATAAAGTAGATACTGAAATTGTATTTCAATTACAATCTGTGAAGCTCAATGTTAAACTCTTCTGCCATATTTTTTATCCCTTCAAGGAGTTACTTCCTTTTCTGTTTACTCTGTTGACTGCTTATTACAGACATAGTCAAAATTCTTGTCTGGTGTAGAAATCCTTCTGTGACCCTGCCCTGGAAGTTTTCTCGCTTAGAGTCTTTAACTGGTTTGAGATGGTCGAATATTATATTCCGAAATACAACATTTTAATATAATGTTAAAAAGTCAGCAGATTGAAACTATCCTATGATAAATATATTGTTAGTTTGGATGTTAAGTAATATTTGGAAGTAAAAGAGTAATTGCTGTTTTTCTTATCTACAAGTTTTATTTGAAGATAATAACAAAGGAGGAAGTTTCCAAAGAGAATCAGTCATAATGAATTGTGCTACTGCCACATAATCATCTCTGTCATCTCAAGTTACAGAAGAGAAAAATGGATTTTATCTTATTGTTCAGATGTTTTTATAGATAAAGCACTGGTTTAGCCTTTATAGGTAAAACTTGAGTGATGGTATTAGACTTAAATACAAACAACATAATATACTGTAAACCCTTAAAGTAAATTTGAGCCAGAAGCATATATACAACAGTTTTTTTTAAACAGTACAATTTAACTCAAACCTTTTGGAAAACTTAGATTATTTGCTTTAATTTTGAGATAAGATGTTTTTCTTGAGTTAAAGCTTCACTGCTCACCAGCCAGCGGCCTCTTTTATCCTGTTTTCCTTTCACATGGAGCTAAATGTTGTGGGTGACAGGTCACTGCGGGTTTCTTCAGCACTGAGAACTGAACTCTTAAAATCTGTACGAACTGCAGATTGTTTCTACGCTGCTTGAAAAATTACGGATTCTTTAAAAAGGTGTTTGCTGAAAGACAAAAAGTTTCCGTTTTAAATAAAGTGCTCTCAACATTCTGCCTTTTGCTCTAAAGATAACTTGGTGCTTCTTCGTACATGCAGAGCTTGCTTTTCTGTTTCAGTCACACACCTGTGAGAAATGAAAGGTTTGGCGTCACCTGAGGACACAGGGAGGAGGTTCAGAACTTGCCTTTGGTGACAGTCAGTCATACGGGCCAGAAGATTCAGAATTTCAGTTTTTTATTTGGATTTCATATTTGTTATGCTTTATTTAGCTTTAAATGAGCTCAGGCGCTGAGAGACTGCATTATATAGTCTAAACTCTTTGTTTTCGTGTTTTTTTATAGCAATTTTACATTAAGAAGTGCATTATATAAATTATTTAACTACATTAGCATCACTACATTTTTACTTATAAAAAGGTTCTGCCAGTTTGGGATGCAGTTTTCTATTCAAACGTGTAGTCAGTAAAAAAAAAAAAAAGTTATGCATTGGATGTTTGTTTTTTTTTATTTGGGAGGGACTTTTTTCTTTTTTCTGCAGTTTTTTACGTCTTGTTGCACAAATCCTACATATGACTTCACTCTCAGATAAAAACTTTTTTTCAGGTTTAATGAGATCATGGTCGTGTACTTAAAATTTGTTGTCACTGCCTGAGCAGTTTGTAATTTTAAACCCTTCTTTAATAATATTATGTGAATAATGTTCCCGACCTTTGCACTGTGCAGTGTTAAAGAAAGAAAAGTTCACTGAAACATGATGATCGTATCACTTCTTTCCCTCAGGAAAATGTTGCTGTATATTCTCGGACCGGTGACTGCCTGGTTCATCTATCGCTGGTACAAAGAAAGCAAACGAGTTTCAAACATTGAGGATAAATATGTGTACATCACTGGCTGTGACTCTGGGTTCGGTAACAACTTGGCGAAGCATTTGGACAAGCTGGGCTTCCCCGTGATCGCGGGCTGTTACACAGAGAAGGGTGAAGATGAGCTGAAGAAGATCTCCTCCAAAAGGTTGACAACCGTTCCTCTGGACGTCTCCAACTCTGAGAGTGTCAAGAAAGCAGCAGATTTCATCAAGAATCTGGTTGGAGAGAAGGGTGAGTTCCTTGTACAACACAAACAATAGTCCGATTATGTAGTTGTTTTTGCTTTTATTTTTTAATTGATACAATTAGTAAGAAGTAATATGACAAGAGCACATTTACATTATAGCAGAGCCAGTTTAGTTAGTTTTTATTACCACACTGCCTGAAGCAGTTTCACTTCTAATTTATCCCATTCATGTGGGTGTTGTCTCATCTTTGGCTTTCTTTTGTTGCACTTTTTCTTTGCTGCTTCAGGTCTGTGGGCTGTTGTCAACAATGCTGGAGTTGCTTTGCCGTCTGGTCCCTCTGACTGGATCGACATAGAAGGTTACAAGTCGATGTTGGCGGTTAATCTGACCGGTGTGATTGATGTCACACTGAGCGTCCTCCAACTTATCAAGAAAACTAAAGGCAGAGTGGTAAATGTTGCCAGTGTGTTTGGGCGCATCAGCCCATTCGGTGGACCTTACTGTGTGTCCAAATATGGAGTGGAGGCCTTCAATGACAGCCTGCGGTAAGAGAAGACCTCATTTTTGTCCCCCGTCGCAAAGCGGAAAAGGACGAATTGGAAATACCCTTCATCCATCCGTCCATCCATGCATGTTGTGAGCATGATAAATTGAAATATAAGTGAGATATTGACTTACATTTTGGTGAGTGAATAGATGTAGACATAAGAAAGGTTCCTTTCAAAAATTAGGTTGCCATGTCAAACTCCAATAAGATGCCACCATATATATATATATATTTGAAAAAATTGTGAGTTGGATAACTTAAAGCATAAACAATGGGCCAACTTCTTTTATGATGTATAATTCAATCTAGGTGTTAGAACGTTTTCTTTTGAAAACTGGTTTGCCATGTCAAAATCCAAGATGGCCACCACCATCTATATGTAAACCTTGTGAGCTGGATAACTTGAAAAATAGGCAATGGGTCAGCTTCTATTTTAGTGTGTGGCTGCATCTATGTGTAAGAAAGGTTTCTTTTGAAAAACTATATATATATATACATATATATATATATATATATATATATATATATGTATATATAAATATACGTGTGTGTGGGGGTGTGTGTGTGTGTGTGGGGGGGGGGGGGGGGTGTAAGCCACCTCTATAGATTGAGGAAACTGTGCTTTCTTGTTTTATATTGCTTAAAAGTGTAGTTTCTTCAATTGATTGAGATGGCCAAAGTTTAAATTATGGGGGCCAAGGCCACCACTGGCCACCCCTTGACTCCGCCATTGCAACTGGTGGTGGATAAAATTGCTCCCTCCACTCACCAGGATTCATCCTTCTTTGTCACCTCAAAAAAAGAAAAAGAAAAACACAGTGCAACTTCTACCCATTTAAATATCTTGCACCAAAACATTAAGGTTTATTTACATTCTTTGTTCAATTCCAGTCCAAAAAAGCACTCGTCTCAAAAACTACAAGCACTCACTGTTCAAACCCTTCAGCAACGGGGGACATTGGTGTACCACTTGTTTAATTTTTGTATAATCATTAATGTAACGGGGATCTTCTTGAAGAACCAGAAACTTGTTTTGTGTTTCAGTATAAACATGAAGTCGTTTGGAGTCAAAGTTTTGTGCATTGAGCCAGGCTTCTTTAAAACTACTGTGACCGATACAGAGATGTTGAGGAACAGCTTAAAGAAGCTCTGGGACAACTTACCTCAGGACCTGAAGGATGATTATGGGTCAGATTTCTTGCAGGCATGTAAGTTACCAAATCTCAGTTACCACGTTCTAATTACAGAAAAATGCATAATTATTGTCATTTGCTTTCACAGTGTAAAATATTGAATTAAAAATTAGTATTTTATGAACAACTTGGTGGATTTAAAGGAACATTGAAAAAATAATTAGTGGATGTACTTCTACAACTGATTTGCACTTGAAGTTGATCTGAGTGAGGATTGCAACTACTGTCAATCAACCTACGCAAACACAAAAATGGCACAACAGTTGGTTTTACAGATATTTAGCTAAACTTCTGTGTAGTAGCTGAGAGTTATTCCCACCACATACAGTGTTAACAAATCACATAAGATCTTTGGCCAAAACTCTGCCATAAAAGGCAGCGAGTTCCTTCAGGAACTGCTAAGCTTTTGATTTAACATAGCATTTTATGGAAGTACAGTAGCCCCCCCCCCCCCCCCCCCCCCCCCCCCCCCCCCCCCCCCC